ATTCAAATTAAAAAACAAGTCTTTATTTTAAAAAATAGATTTTCCAATTGGTTTTCTCGATTTTCACAGTTTTCATTCTTATTGATTAATCTTTTTTCTTCTCTCTTCCTTGTCTTCTCAATAAATCATAAAATCACAAAAATAAATCTAATGAAATATTCATTTACTTTCGTCTAAAAATTAAACATAAAATTATTTTATTTTATCAAAGGAGACTTTTTAGTTTATTTTCATTTGTTTTTCTTCGAGAGTTTTCTCAAATTAATACTTTTTATTAATTTTCAAAAGTAAAAATCGAAGTTTTATCAAATCAAATTAAATATATTTTGAATTTCACATTTTTTCATATTTTTGGATTCGATGATTTAATTGATCAACAACATAAAGATTTTCTTCATTATCAAATGATAAACCTGTGGGAAAATTCAATTGATTTGATTCATTTCCTCTACCATTTTTGCCAATAACAATTTCACCTTCTTCATCTCCTTCGCACCAACGCATTATTCGATGATTCGCCCAATCTGCCACATAGATTTGACCCAAATGATCAACAATCACTCCATAAGGAAGAGACAATTGTTTGAGACTATTTCCTTTACCATTTCCACCAGCAACAATAATTCCTTCTTTTGCGTCTTTTTTCCATTTCATTACACGATGATTCCAATAATCTGATATATAAAGAGAATAATCGTCATCAATAAAGATCTTAGTAGGACCATTAAGTTGATTAGGATGATTTCCTTGACCATTTCCACCTGCAACTAATTCACCTTTTCTATCTCCTTGTTTCCATCGTCTTACTTCATGATTCTCCCAATCAGAAGCATAAATAAATCTATTTTTATCGATTGTTAGACCATAACAAGTAATATTTGAAATGATAATTTGTGGATTTGTTAGCTTTGGATCAAAATATCGAATTACTCGTTTGTTTTCCCATTCCGAAATAATAAAAAAATTATTTTGTTTATCAAAAATTATATCTGTTGGCCCATGCAATTGATTATTTTGATTACCACTTCCATTTCCACCTGCAGTAATTTGACCAGTCTTTGAATTCAATTCCGATTTAACAATACGATGATTCTCAGAATCAGCAACGTAAATTGATTTATCATCATCAATACAGATTCCTAAAGGATCAGAGAGTTGATTTAATTGATCTCCTTTTCCATTTCCTCCAGCAACAGTAACTGCAAATTGTTGATACTTATTATTTTCTGTTAGAATTTGTTCTAAAATAGAAGATATTCTTTTTATTCAAAATCTCTTTCATTATTTTTAAATCAAAAAAGGACAAAAATGAGAAGAAAAACTTGTATTCGAATTTGTTTTAAGCAAATGAAATTTTTTTTTTGTTAAACTTAATTTTTAATGCACAAAATAATTTACAAATGATTTCTACATTCAATTAAGATTTTTCAGTTAAAAAAATTTTTATTTTGATTTTGATAAAAGTTTAGTTTACGAAAATGTTTTTTTGAATGAAAACTATTTTGATTTATATAGTTTAATTAAAGTCGATTGAAAACCCTATTTTTTATTATGAAATTAAAAAGAATTCTTTTCTGTGAAAATTCTAAACTAAATATTTAAACTTAACTTAAATTTATTTGATAATTGAAAAAGAAGATAATCTTTTCATTAAAATATTAAACGAGATTTTTCAAATGAAAAAAAAAAATTCTGTTTATTCTGAGAAATTTGTTTAGATCTGAATCATATATTAGAGTAGATTCTTAAAAAACCATGAGGATGTGAGTGTGGATGTGAATATAGGTACACTAATATAACAACTATTAACGTCACAGCTGCACACATACCCAGGCCCAGATCCACACCCACCCTCAATTTGAAAGTCGATGAAACTACTTTTTAGATAAAATTTTTATTATTTTCTATTTAATAAAACATACGGTGTTTTATTTGAGATTGAGTTGATATTTGATTTGTTGTTATTGAATTCTTTGATATAGTCGCTGCACCAATTGTGGAATGATTTGATTGGTAAAAAGCTTAGTAAAACGAAAATACAATGATTTTATCCGACAATAATAAAAAAATAAACAATTTATTTTAATTTCATTTATATTAAAATGGGTATGGGGTTCTTCTATGTTCACATCAACTCTTAGAAGCTCCCTTTCATTTCCTTGCAAATACCTAGTGACTCCCTAACACTTTCTTGCAAATCCATAGAGAATTTCTGTCGTGAGTTCTCGTTGAAATTGTCGTGGGAATTCGCCAACGGAGAGTTGACAAGGAACAACAAGATCTAAAAGCTGATTGTTACAGTTTTAAAACATACTGCTCAAGGTCCGTATAGTTTTACATTTCATTCAGAAAGAAAACACACCAACAATAATCGTATTAAATATGCGTACAAGTGTCTGTATTTTATTTCTAAGATTGTGTTACTTTGTAGAAAAGTTACCCCATAATTATACCCAAAAATTTTAGCATATGTAGAATTTAACTGAGGACGTTATAAAAATTCACTCTTTCGAGAATGACCTAAAATTATAACTCTATGAGTAATAAGTAGTTTTCTTCCAAATTGATCTATATTTAACATTTTATATTTCATCCGATGAGATAGTATTTTCTCTTACTCGGTGTTGATTTAATCTGCACAAACTGATTCGTAACCGGTTGTGAAAGAGTAATTAAAGGTTTTGTTTCTTTTAATTGATTCATATGAAGGCTTGGTGTTGGTTTAACCTGCGCAGATTGCTTTGTAATCGGTTGTAAAAGATTAATTGGAGGTTTTGCTTCTTTTAGTTGAATCATATGAAGGCTTGGTGCCGGTTGAAGACAACCTACTACAATAAACTGTCGAGCAGGTAGAAGAAGAACTTCTTTTTCCTTTTGATAATATGAATGACGACTGATATCTTTGCCACTATCACATTCAATAGTAAACAGTGTTCTCTGACCAGTTCTGCCTAAGAATTGTTGGTTTTCGAGTATTTCTATCGATGTTGTGCATGAAGAAAATCCCCACCAGACAAATCTTTTTCCTTGAATATATTGATTAGTTAGATCTAAATTCACTCCACGAAACACATGGCATCGTGTGGATGGTATTTTTTCGAGTGCTGTAAGAATAAGTTTCAAATACGAAAACCATGATTCTAATTCTCGCCTGTCTTCGCTGCGAAGAGCCGCATTGAGAGCAAAATATAAACATTCTTTATGTGGTTTCCATTCCATGGAGTAAAGCATGATTGAAGCTGATTCATCCTGTGTTAAATCATCTGGAGGTACGGATTTACACCGTTGCTTCGCCACATAAATATAAGTTTGAATTTTAGGTAAAATCGAAATAAGTGGTGCAACAGCTTCCTCCAGTGGTACTATTGGCATTTCTTCGTATCCTTCAATTGGCATGAGCATCTCTTGCGGTTCGTTGACAATATCCGATATACGTGTATACTGTTGTGAAGCAACATTTCCACATGTTTTAGCCATGTTTATATAAAAGAATATGTTCAAGTAACAAGCACAATAAATAGTCTAGAAATAAAATAAAAATTTGTTTTTAAAACCATTTTGAGAGTGTGGTTGTGGGGTAACTGGAAGTGGCTAAAGTACCAGGCGTAGATATCGATATTGAATCGTTCCACATCCACCACTTTAGTTATTGAGGAATTTTGTCCTGAAGGTGTATTTGTACTAACTTCGTTTGAAGAACAAATGCTTATCTTCTTTCAAATATTAATGGTATTATTCACATGTGTTATTTTGGTGATGACAGCTATAATTTTCTATAAAAGACTTTTACCAGAATATCTCAAAATCTAAGTTTGTCATTGGAAAATCTTTCAGAAAATAAGTATCAATCTTATGACTAACACGACAGTGGCTAAAAAGCTTTTTGAAAAACTCATTAGCGACGACTTTACAATCGCTCGGCGTACACTTCCAGACATACAGATATTTGTCAGATTCTCACACTAACGAAACTTTAAGATAGAACTGCAGAATGATGTCTCTGTCTTATCTGATAATAAACATCGTCTATTTTCTTTTCTTTAAGGTAAAAAGACAAACAACAGAAAAATATTTATATTTTTTCAACACTAATAGATGGTTGATGATAAACATATAGCATTCTTCGAGAAAGATATGCCTTTTCAAGGTTACTTTGTGGCTTATAAATCTGTGTAATTTTTTAAAAATACTGTTTAATGTATAAAATAGATCAAAGGACAAAAATGTGTCTCAACTTTACTATTAAGAAGTTTTTGTAGTTGTAATTAATGATTATAACAATAACAATTCAAAAGATCCATTCACAAACATAATTTAAACTAATAACCACATCCTTGTTTGTAATTTCATATCTACTCATATTTCTATTGTCTTGAAATCTTGTTCAGGTAGATAATTTAAGGAGTGAATTTTTCTACATACAGGTCTAGTTGTCAATTATTTAAACACAATATTCGCAATAGTTTTCGTTGATTTTGAGGGTACAGTTGTAGTACATACTTACGATTAATTTAGTTAACAAGTAATGTGTAAGTAGAGAGTTTCATAGTTATTCCCCATGTTTCTATTAGAAGATTAAAGACAAGAAGTATTCTCATGTTCTTATTAATGAGTGAAAGTATTTTTTCATCACAAACAAAAAAGATAAACTCATCTTTAAAACTGCACCCTGAATATACTAAACGTTGTCTTTATCTTAACAGTATACAAAAAGTCAGATACTTTTAAATCAAAAAAATAACTTTCTCATTATTTTCCGTTTGCATAAACTTAAAAATACAGGGTAGGTGTGCATGTGGATGTATGATTAATACAGTATTCACACCCACATCCATAAGAAAATAAATAAAATCTCACTAATATAGTAAGATTAATTATTATATTAATAGCATAAATACGATAAATATTATTAATTCATAAAATAAAGTAAAAAATATACCACTATTGCAATTAAACATATTATATATTTTTTGTCATAAATATAGGAAATAATTTATTGAAAGATATAGTGATCAAATACAGCAAAACATATTGATAAGAGACTAATTAATAAAAATGTTTGTTCTTAATTTATACTATATTAATGAACATTTTAGTGATAAATCATTTTCATAAAATATCAATAAACTAATCATATTGTATATCTATAATTATTTTTATTAATAATATTTCGCATATTACCATGTTTATTATGTGTTACTTGCCAAATTAAAATTATTTATATGTATCTATAGAATTTTGAAGACTTTTTTTGTGACAGAAATATAAAAACTCATATAGATAATATCCAAAGAAATTCTACAAAACTAAAATATTAATGAAGAGAAAGAAAAGTAGTTTAAGTTTCTAAATAAACTTCACAATTTCCTTAAGAACTTTTATATGAGTTTCTCGTTACTTTATTCTAACTAATTAATCTACTAAAATTGTCTATTGATTATTTTCCTACAAATGTCACTATTAGACAAACAACAACATTTACGTTATATTAATACAATTCGATAAGAATTTGTCTTTTGTACAGCTATCCGATATATAGAAATGAATTGTTATATTGTAGACTTTTCATCAATTATCGAACTCTAATATTTTCTCATCATATGACATGCGTGCAATAACTATAATTATAGAAAAAATTGTTGGATGAATTATTTTTCCAACCTATGAGATTTAACAAAAGATAAAATTTTATTTATTCTATGGGAAGTACATTCGAGCATTATGATGAAAATATTGTCAAACAATCCACTTCCGTAAAATAACATGTAGCCTCAATTATACAAATGTTTTTCTTCTCGTTCATCACATATTGACATACTTAATTTTATGTTAGTATATCTTGTCTTGTTAACTAAAGAAAAAAAAGATGCGTGTTATTTTATTTTTTCTCAGATTAGCATCATCAAGTTTTCATTATTAATTAAAATATAAATAACACAAGAGAAGAATCATTCCCCATTTTATTTCAATCATGAGTGGAACTAATATTTTAATGAATTGTTCTACACTTGCAATTCATATATTTTCTATGGTTATTTCATTGATTATTCTTGCTCTTATTATTTATCGTTTCCATTATAATAACTTATATCGACGTCAAATTTCATCATCACCTTTCGATGATCAAATTTCATTAATACTTATTGGTAATACTTATCTAGTCTTTTTTATTTACCATCTAGCATGGCTTTCAATTATTTTTCGTACATTTATTGGAGATTTTTCTCTTTTAAAAGATCACTTCTATCTCGGTGATTCAAAACTTTGTCGAATACAAGTTGATATTATTTTTTTCTTAACAAGTCAAATATATCATAGTTTCTTATTACAAGCATTATATCGTCTTTTTAAAATTATTTCCATTTCAAGATTAACTCCAATAAAAATTTTTCAAGTGTCATTAAATAATATTCCGATTTATATTCTAATGATTATTTTCAATTAGTTAATATCATTTCATGTTTTTTCATATTTTCCTCAACAATATGTCATTTACACATATCAAAGGTTTTATTTATTCACTTCTTGTCTGTTATCTTATACCAGTATGTTTAATATTATATATTTATTTTCATCTTATTATGTATATTCGTCGATTACCTAATTGTGGTATTTTATTACAAACAAAACGTGAAATAACTGCTATAAAGTTTATTTTGAAGATTTGTTTAGTAATGAGTATTCTTGGTTTTCCTACACTTTTCTTTTTATTTCAATTTATTATTACTGGTGAAATGCATCCATTTGCTGATCGAATTCATGAACTATGTGTATCTATAAATGCACTCGGCTTTACATTCGGTTTCTCAATTCTCAATTCATTTACTCAACTTTTACCTCCACTGTCAGCTGATGAGGATAGTAGTATGATAAACTTACAAAGTGTCATCACTTAATACTTCAAAACGTCATATAATTAAAATTGTTTACAATTTGTTTGAGTAGATACGACTCGTCAAATGACTTTAGCAAATAATTATATTTCCAATAAAAATAAAATAATCAATTTATTCGTTAGTCTCATAGAATAGATAATTATCATGGGAATTTAAAAATGACGTAGTATGAATCCACGCCAATAGGATAATATTTTCCAAAAAAAAATGAATACAAATGTATTTAGAGTTACAAATTCTAAGAATATTTGTATTGATATATAAAATATATTTTTTATCATTTTAGACGCAAATAATAATAACGTCACATGGCTCAGATACTTCGTTTTTTTTCTTTTTCTTCTATTAGTTAGTTTTATAAGCTTTTTATCTTATTGATGACATGGTAGTCAATCAAGATAAAGAAAACGTGATTCATATATTATAATAATCATTGTAATAAAGAAAAAAACTGAAAGTGCGTATTTTATGAGTACTTATTTAGGCTTGTTTATCATGTTGAATGTATGACGCCGATCATTAAGACAAAGATCGCTGATGATTAGTTTTTTGTTTTGACAGGACGTATACTGTTTATATTAAATTTGATGTGAAGCAATCTATGCATCAATGATCACTGAAATAAAAAAAAACTAAAAGTATTTGATTCTGAGTCAGTTTTTCACCTGGACACTGGAAAATATCTCATTTCTTATTGGTTGATTAATATAATTTATTATATTTTTTCGTTAGAGAATGAAAAAAAGATTACTGTAGACAAAAAGAAATATATAAATATGTACTTGTATTACATTTGTTAATATTTATAATTAGTATATTCGTCGTTTACTTTAGTCATTCTTTAATATTAGTTAAAGGTAATTATCAATATAAAATTTGTATTTAAATTCATAATTTTGTAAATAATCAAGACATTAAACAGCTTATGAGTGAATCGAATTCTAATAAATAAAACCTATTTTCTTTAATTATTATTTTTATTTAGATGGAAATGATTTCTACTGATGATGATGATGGTATTCAAGTGATCGAACTTGTAAATTTTGGAGAATCTTCTATTGAACCAGAAGAAATATCAAATTTGTCTTCAAATACACATAATGAAATAAAACAAAACAATAATGAAATTAATGATACGATTTCGTAAATCTTTTTCTTTAATTTACCGTTCAAAATAATTTTATTGAATTTTGTTTTTAGAAAACATCTTCCTGGGGGAATATCAAATTTAACTGTAGGTTTTATTAGTTTTTTTCTATTTACATGTATTATGGCGACTGCTGGAATCATTATTGTTTGTTTAACTGCACCAAAACCACAGGGTATGTTTTTTCTTCAAATAATATCAATGAAATTGAACTATTTGTATTTTATTTTTCTTGTATTATTTAGGTGCAAAATGCGAGTTAAAATTCTCAGCAGTATTAACAAATCCAATAGAATATAAAGTTGGTACACGATCAATTGCTGTTGCTGATTTAAATAATGATACATGGTTAGATTTAGTTATTACTGATTCTGGCGTTAACGAGATATCTATTTATTATGGAGATAAAGATGGAAATTTTATAAAACAAAATGAATATTCAACTGGTTCAAATTCTATTCCATATATGGTTGCTATTGGTGATCTTAATAATGATTATCAATTAGATATTGTAGTTACTGATATTGGTATAAATAATATTCGAATATTTTTTGGATCTGGAAATGGATCATTTATTAATTATAAAGATATTTCAACATATTCATCTCGTCCAATATTTATTAATTTAGTTGATTTTAATAATGATACATTACTTGATATGATTACAATTAATTATGGAAAAAATACTATAAGTATATATTATTCAACTGGTAATGGTACATTTTTAAATCCATTAAATTATTCAACAGGTTATGATTCATTATCATCATCGTTAATTACTGGAGATTTTAATAATGATCAATATTTAGATATTGCTATAACAAATTATGGAACAAATAATATTCAAATTTTATTTGGAAATCATAATGGAAGTTTAAGCAATGAAATGATTATTTATACTGGTATTAATTCTCATCCATCATCTATAGCTGTTGGTTATTTTAATATGGATTCTTTTCTTGATATTGCTATTACCAATTATGGAACTAAAACTATTGGTGTCTTTATAAATAATGGGAATGGAAATTTTCCAAATCAAACTATTTATCCAATAAATTCTACTTCTCCATATTCAATTGATGTTGGTGATTTTAATCAAGACAACGAAATGGATTTAGCTATTATTGGTATTGGTATTAATAATACTGGTTTACTTCTGGGGTATGGGGATGGTACTTTTTCTGATGCAAGAATGAATTCAAGTGGGTCATCATCCTCAATTTCATTTGCTATCTGTGATTTTAATAAAGACAATCGATTAGATATGATTATTGTTAATAATGATACTGATAGTATAGATATTCTTCTCGGTTATTTTGAAGGATATAAACGTCCAGTAATGTTTACAACGGGTTCTTCACCACGATCTCTTGCTGTCGGTGATTTCAATAATGATACTAAACTTGATATAGTTGTTGGCAATTATTTAAATAACTCAATCAGTATTCTTTTTGGATATGCTAATGGTTCTTTTGCGCAGCAACTTACATATGGAACTACCTATAGTCCGTCTTCTTTAGCTGTGGGTGATTTTAATAATGACAACAGATTGGATATTGTTGTCGTTACTAATTCCCGTTCGAATAATATAATTGTTTATCTTGGAGATGGCAATGGTTCTTTTCCAAATCAAATACCATATACAGTTCCTATTCCGCTACACGCCGTGGCTGTTGGGGATTTCAATAATGACAATCAACTAGATATTGTTATTAACAATCCTAGTAGTAATTTTGCATATGTTCTTTTTGGAGTTGGTAATGGTTCTTTTATAAATGCTACGGGACGTTCTACTGGTTCTCAACCATACTCTGTAGCTGTTGGCGATTTTAACAATGATAATCAGCTAGATATTGCTGTTCCTAATTATGGTGACAATACCATTAGTGTTATTCTTGGATATGGTAATGGATCTTTTAAAGATCAGATAATATATTTTACTGGTCGTACGCCATATTTTATAGCTGTTGGTGATTTCAACAATGATACTCAATTAGATATGGCTGTTGCTAATTATGATAGCCGTAATATAGGAATTTTTCTTGGATTTGGTAATGGTTCTTTTGCAAAACAAGTTACATATGCAGCTAAAAATAGTCCAACATATATAGCGGTCGGTGATATTAATAATGATACTCGACTGGATATTATCATCAGCAGTCCTTTACTTACAGTCGTCGTTGTTCTTTTTGGAGATAATGATGGTAATGGTACTTTTCCAACTAATATGGCATTTTATACTGGCGTTTATTCATATCCTGTCGCTATTGGGGATTTCGATAATGATACTCGACTAGATATCGTCGTCGCGCAATACAATAGCAGTAATATTAGTGTGATCCATCAGTATAATCGAGGAGCCATTTACAACCAAGACAGCTATGCATCTGGTGGTGGTTCTAGTTTACGATCTTTTATCATTGCTGATTTAAATAATGATAATCATTCGGATATCATTGTTGCTAATTATGGTACTGACGATGTTGGTATTCTATTTGGGTATGGAAATAGTACTTTTATGGAACAGATAACGTTTGATATGACTTCAAACTCTCATCCATCATCCATTACTATTAATGATTTCAATGGTGATAATTATATAGATATTGCTGTAACCAATTATGGTACACAAAATCTAGGAATGTTACTCGGAAACGGAAATGGATCATTTGCAATTCAAAGCATTTATCTAGATGATGTTCTTTTCAGTCCTATTGCTATTGCGTCTGGTAATTTTGATAATGACAATCGATCAGAAGTTGTTGTTGCGTATGATGGAAGTGATAATATCGATATATTTTTTTCATACAATACTGGATCCTTTACAAATCAAACGACATATCCAACTGGTTCTCTGCCATATGCTGTAGCTGTTGGTGATTTCAACAACGATACGCATCTGGATGTAGTTGTTGCCAATGCTAATGCTAATAATGTGAGTATCCTTCTTGGATATGGAAATGGTTCTTTCACAAGTCAGGTGACATATGCAACTGGTTCGTTTCCAGAATCTCTCGCTGTTGGTGATTTTAACAACGACAATCAATTAGATATCGTCGTTGGCAATGCACTTGGCGGTAATATTATCATCCTTCTCGGATTTGGTAATGGTTCTTTTATAGCTCAAAGTCCAATATCAACTGATGCAACTCCACGGTGTATAGCAATTGGTGATTTTAACAATGACACGAAGTTAGATATTGTCGTTACCAGTCTTACTTATAACAGAACAAATATCTTTCTTGGATCTGGTGATGGATCTTTTGCTCTCTTCAAGCGATATCCAACTGGTCATTCTCCTCGATCGGTAGCTATTGGTGATTTCGATAATGATGGTCAACTAGATCTCGTTACTGCTAACTATGATGATAACAATGTGGGTGTACGTTTGGGAAATGGTGATGGTTCTTTCAAAAGTCAAATGACTTTTTCAACTGATATAGGGGCACAATATGTAGCTGTTGGTGATTTTGACAAAGACAATAACCTTGATATTGTTGTCGCCGCAACATATCAGTCAAAAATGAATTATCTAGGTGGATATGGTAATGGATCTTTTCAAAATAGAACCACGTATCCAATTGGTTCACTTTCATTATCTCTAGCTGTTGGTGATTTCAACAATGATGGTCAATTAGACGTTGTTCTTCCAAATCAAGGTAGTGATGATATCAGTATACTTCTTGGATATGGGAATGGTTCTTTTGCAACTCAAATAAAACATTCAACTGGGTCTGGTCCATATTTTGTAGCTATTGGTGATTTTAATCACGACAACTTACTTGATATTATTGTTCCTGATTCACAAAATGACAATGCCATGATACTTTTTGGATGCACCAATCAAGTTTTTGTAAAAAAAACTACGCTTTCAACTACTAAAAATTCTCGACCAAAGTCATTCATCATTGAAGATTTTAATAATGATACTTTTATGGATATTGTTATTACTAATTCTGGTACAAATAATATTGGTATTTTTCTTGGATATGGTAATACCTCGTTTTCAAATCAAACAACATTTTCTACTGGATTAAATTCTTCTCCATCTAGTATAGCATTTGGTGATTTTAATAATGATACTATACTAGATATTGTTGTTACTAATTCTGCTTCAAATAATATTGGTGTTTTTCTTGGGTCTGGTAATGGTTTATTTCAAAATCAAACAACTTATTCAACTGGTCCGTCTTCACGTCCATATTCTGTAGCTGTCAATGATATTAACAATGACTCTATACTTGATATTGCTGTTACTAATTATGCTTCTAGTGAAATTAGTCTATTTCTTGGCTATAGTAACGGCACATTTGCAAATCAAATTATCTATGCAATGGAATATGGATCTGAACCATTTTCTATTATTATTGACGATTTCAATGGCGATAAAAAATTAGATTGTGCTATAGCAAATAATGGAACTGACAATTTAAATATTTTTTTACAGACTTGTTAATTTTTCTTTTCTTAATTTTGCTCATATATATATATATTTATAATAAACGTGATTATTCATTTTTGATTCAATAAAACAATACTCTGATTTAGTCGATATACATAATTAATATTAGACATTGAGAAAGTGTTACTTGAGAATTTGTCACATTTATTCGTACTAACTCATGACGATTTTGTTTTTTTGTCTAATATTTAGATCAAAAGACATAGAGAGAGAAAAAAAAAGAGACATATGGCAATATAAAAAAATTGTTAGGACTACATCTGATTTCATCGAAACATACAAGTAGAATATCCAACTTTACACGCAATCGACACTGAATAGATGCACTATGTCAGAATCTATACATCAAATTTTTCTTTCAATATCAACATGATTGATTTATCCGAGAACGGTGTTTGTAGAATGTAACAAAAAAAAAAAAGTCTTCCCCTTCTCCTGTCTATTCTATCATCATATAAACTTGACATAGTTTCATGACGAACAACACATTTGCTTTTCAACAAAAAATGTACAATGAGCAATATAATTCATCAACGGTATGAAAATATTTCTCTAATGAATTTCATTTTTATTTTTTTGATACAATAGACATTTGATAATGATCGTTTAAATCAATCAACAACATTTCGTTTGAATGATTCTTATTATCTTGATTCCTTACCTTATTCTTCTTATAATACAAATTCTTATCCACCTTCATCAAATGTATATTTTTCATCTCATCAATATCATCCTTTTTCGTCATCATCATCATCATCAGGAACCACTCAATTTACAAATACAGATGTACCATCATATACAAATTATGATACAACTTATTTAAATGTTGCTGTAGCAGCAGCTGCTTATCAAAATGGTTATCAAACTCATTATCATAATAATAATAATAATAATAATACAATAGGTGATCCATTTAATATTGGTTTTTCTCGACATATAAATGATTTATATGGAAATAATGAACAACAAATTGAAACAGATCTTCTCGATCGAAAAGTATCAACATCGACAGTTGAAACAAATAGAAAAAGAAAATTACAAGATGAAACAATGAGTAAAAAACAAAAGAAATATTTTTTATTAAAATAACATTTCTTTCAAATAGGATTACAATATGAATCTGAACTTTGTCGAGTATGTGATGATACGAGTTCTGGTTATCATTTTGGTGTATTTACATGTGAAGCATGTAAAGGATTTTTTCGTCGTTATTCAAAAAAATCAACTATTCTCGAACCATGTCCAACACGATGTAATATAAACAAGAATAATCGTAATAATTGTGCAGCATGTCGTTTTGATAAATGTAAATATGTTGGTAAGAAAAAATAAAATTAAGAAAATTAAATAATTTTTTTCTTCTTCTAAAGGTATGGCATTAGATAAGATACGTTTTGGTAAACCACCAAAACATTTTCGTTCATCATTTGAAACAACAAGTGTTAAACTTGAACCGAATAATAATGATTTTCAATTAATGTTAAAATTACTTGAATGTTATCAATCATTTGAAGAATATGAACAACAACAATCAACAACAAATACTCATCCATCAATTATATTTCAATTTTGTCATCGTTTAGCTGATATTGTTATGTATGAAAATGAATGTGTACCGGAAACATTTCTTGCACGTTTAAAACGACATGAATCAGCTATAAAATTTTTAATAACAGGTGAAAATGAACAAAATTTATCATCATGGAGTAAAGAACCACAAGCATGGATATTTGCACATAATGAACGATGGCGTCTTATTATGATTTTACTTATATTAGCTTTTGATGATGAACAAATTGGTGGTGGATCATTAATTTTTTTACCATTAGGTACTCATGAAAATTTCATTCATTCAACAAATAATACAGTTATTGAACGTATTTTACGCTTATTTGAACTTGAATGTGATCAAGAAAAAGAAGCACGAACATTAACTGAAACATCAAATTCATATACGAATTTAACCAATGAAAAAAATATTAAATATATGAAAGCACAATTTGTCTTACGTTTTGTTGATATGATGGCAAATGATATGATATCGAATAGAGTTTATTCAACAACAACAACAAATTCATATTCAATATCAGAAAATAATTATCAAAATAATAATAATAATGAAATAGTTTATTTATCATCTGACAGTAGAATAGAAATACAACAAACAGAACTTAATCAATCAAATGATAATTGTAGTGGAAATTTTTAATAAAATCTTTTTTTTCCCTTTTAATCATTTAAATAAAAATCAGAATTAATCCTATGATAATCTGTATTAATTTATTTTGCTTTGACAATAGCTATTAATACATCTTATTCCACTACGTGAATATTCAGGTAACGATTCCATCAAGCACGTATAGCGATCAGCAAAAGTATCAGTTATATTAAAATTTCTATAATCGTGACCTTCCATTTATATATATAGCATTCAATTAGGGAGCTGCGAGTCGACCCAGACTCGGGACCCAATCGGGTTTGGGTTGGGTCCGGATCCAAAAAGCCGTGGACCCACAGCTCTCTATATTCAATACGATGTAAATAGCAAATATCTGTCTTAAAGTACAAAGACCCATTTTAATCTTCTCTATGCAAACATGACAAAGTTTTAAAATTTGAATACAATTCTATATTTATATTTTCCACCATCTTTAAGTACAAAATTTTACATTATAACTCTCAATAATTTCCAAATATTTATAGTACAAAAAAAACAAATAATAAACAAAACAATTTTTGTTAACTTGTAAAACCAAAGACTTCTATTTCCATAATTTGAAAATGTTCATTAGTTGATAATGGTTTATTTGCATATGTATCACATTGTTTTGTACTACCTTGATTTAAATCTTGTTGTATACATAAACCAATATCAAGTGCTTCTTTACTTCCACCAATTTGAAGACGTTCATCATCAGCATATATAAAATAATCTTCATATGGTTTTGTATGACCCATACTATATTTTTGATAACCAATCCATTTAAAAACTTGTCGTTTAGGTTTTAATGTAAATAAAAATGATTCACCTGTACCAAACCATGTACGTGTTTTTGACCGAAGTGAAAATTGACTTGAACAAAAAGCACCAAAAATTTCTTCAAGTTCATTACGTATTATAATAAAGCAATGTTCATGAAATTCGACATGATCATATAAAGTTCTTAAACGACGACCATGAATATTCGATGAATAAATACGTTCAGGTTGAAATTCCGTAAGACGAGCTGGAATTAATGACCAAAGATATGCAAAATCTGAATGACTTGCTATTGTTGTATCAAATTCACGAATCATTATGATTGAAATTGAATTTTGTTGATTGTATGAACGAATAGGTGCTGTTGTTGATATAGAATTTGATCCATTATGATCACTTATTAATGATAATGGACGACCAAGACGACGTTCTTGTTTTATTTTTATTTCTTCAATCTAAATATATTTATGAAATCGAGAACAAAATACTATTGATTTTGTAACTGAAATAAGAGATAACCTTGATCGATATATCTTTCGACAATATTTACAAACATATTCAGACTTATAATAGTAAACTCATAACGAATTAATGACATTGAATAAGGTAAATAAAGATTACGTTTTTTTTTTTATATAGTCGTTATATTTCTAAATTACATACTTGAATAATTCGAAAAATTTGTTTTCTTCGTAAATGTCGAATAGCAAATGCTTGTTTAAATAATTTTTCAATTGGTATATCTAATTGTTGAATAAAATGAATTAATCTACTATCATTATTAGCCGTTCCATTTGTTTTTATCGATGATGATGATGATAAACGAGAAAATGTTTCACGACGAAATATTGAATAACGTCGTTTAGGTTTGATATGTTGTTTGGAAATATATTTAACAAAAAAATTCAATAGTGATATTGTGAAACGTATTAAAATTTTCATATCTTCAATTAAGAGACAATCAATAATTGGTACAAGATATTTCAAAGGTAAATATTCAAATATAATCCATAGCCAATTATCCAATATATTCTGTTGATATTTCATAAGTATATCATATGTAGAACGATAATGTCGTCGTAATAATGAACGAAATGCTAATATTAATGATTGATATTGTATTTCTGTTTGAGTTATTATTTTATAATTATTATTTGTTAAAATTAATAAAGATTCATAAGCATCAATTTCAGTCATATAATGTAAAAATAATGCAGTTAATGGAGCAAGTAATGGTGCCCATGTTATATCAGGATGATAATAAGCAAATACACTTAAGATTCGTGTTCGTGCATGTTGACCTTTCCGATTAAGATTATAATTAGGCAAATGATCAAGATCAATACATGATGGAAGACGAACAGTGATGTCATTCCGACGACCAAACATATTACTAGAAAGTAAATCATTACAAAATTCATGCATTATACATATACTAGAAAAATATTCAAAAATACTTGAATTTGACTAAAGACTATTAAGCTTACAATCTTTCTAACGATTACATTCCTAAGTTTTATGTGACAGAATCGTATATGTTCAGTTCTAGTTTGTATAAAGATGGAAATTCGGAATCCGCCCCGGTTCAGCATTGTTTGTCCTCTGACTCAGATAGTTTCATATGTGAGAAATATAGGTAAGAAGGTTATACATATTTTACTCATAGAAATGTCGCTAACCATCTATCAGATATTCAATCAAATTGACTTGTAACTATTCATAGTATAGAAAAAGAAATCAAACGTATAACATTTCTATCTAAAGTGTTATTATAACTTAAAGATAAATTATCTCATTATTTTCAAATTAGATGACAAGTAACGCTCGTCCGAGGACTCGCCTAGCTCTTTCTCGTAAAAATCCACTTTCTTCACATTTACTGAAACAACAAATGAAAACCGTAAAAAATTGATTTTCGATGTTTTTTTAACCCTACGGACACACAAGCAAGCAATTTACTGTCGACAAGTACATACCGTATATCTTCTGGATAACGTTCAATAGCTTGTTGAAATTTATATTGTTGATATTTTTGATCTTGTCGAAGAAGATTTATCCATAATGAAGAACGTAATGGATGTGCTATATGTAAATGTGTAGTACGAAATAATTGTTTTAAATTTAATAATGATACATTTTCATCGAAATTTACTGGTATTTTATTTAAATATTCTTCATTAATTAATTGTTTGTTAAATGGTTTTAATTCAGTTTTTTCAAAAATGGTTGAATTTAGAGTATCTTCACAAATACTTGTTAATGTTGTTATTGCAGGAAAAGACATTTGTATCTGAAAGTTCAACGTTACATCTTATATGTATATATATGTAGAACAGAAGTGTCGACGTCTGTATGATTCGTTTTTTCTTTTCTCTTATTAATGTCACACGTTCGTCATATATGTCGGCCGAGGTAGCGTATACCAACCTATTTACAAGATCACTTATTGAAAAAAATATAGAAATACATATATATATATATATATGTCGTTACATAACAACGAAGCATCAAAATTGCATAAATATATAATTGCCTAGATTCATTGCATTTTGAAAGCGTTCAAGACGATACGCATGAACAAATTTTCGTTATATTGAAAGATTTTATATTTTTCTTGATTTCATACAATGAATTCGTGTGGACTTCGACAATCAAATGAACATCGCTACCTTCAGACAACGAAAGGAATTTTTTGACGTATAAAAATATGCCTATAAAATTCTCATAATCGATTTTAACAATTGCTAATTTAGTTATAATGATTATTACTTTAGTTGATTCATAGAAATGGATCAACCATTTATGATAAAATATTGTTTGTGAAATACTACACAAGAAATGCATTACAATCAGACTGGAACAATATGAAGAGAAAAAAAAGAAGTGGTTTCTCTTACAATAAAAGCTAGCGATGGCTGTCTCGTCCTACTACTCATTCTTTTTTTTTAAATATTCCACCATGGAAACAACTCATTTTAATAAAGAAACTATCAAATTTAAGTGACATGTATGCATCATATTTTTCTTTATCTTTTATTTGTAATAACAACTGAGAGAAAGTACGTAAATGAATAATAATAATAATAATAATAGTAGTAGTATGAGAAGAAAAAGACGAAAGAAAAGAAGAATGAAAATAAATAATCCGATGTTTTTGTTTAGTTTGCTCTTGTAATATTCGATCGTGTTCAAAAGACAAAAAAAAAAGAAAGAGGCGGCAATGTTAAGTATAATTAAATAAGTAAAAAGAGGAAAAAAACGAAATAAACCAACAGACAACACATTTATTGACATGACATATTTAACTGAGAACGAAAAAAAAGACGAGAATATGATATCAAGTTTGAAGAACAAAAAAAAAGAAAAAAAAAGAAATATGCTTGTATAGAAAGCATTGATCACATTATCTTGTCTATAAGTAAGTTTTTCTCTTTCGTTTTAATCTACTTTGATGACAGAATAAATTATTCGAACAAACCAGAAACAAGCAAGGAACCCGATTGTACCTTAATAAACAAAAAAAAAGTTTTCATATTCAATTTCATCATATATTACTTACCGGTAAATAAAAATAATATAAATGTCAACATCAATGTATAACCGAAATAAAGAAATGTTGATGTACCATCTGATATTTCAAGTTTTGTTGCAAAATAATAAACACAATATAAAAAGAAATAAACGGCGGTAAAACCCGATGTTAAAAATGATCGCCACCACCAATTATAATCCTCAGCACATAAATGAAAATAGCAAAGAAGAATAGTTGTTTCTGAACATGTTATAATAAGAATAACATAAACAACAAGTAAAAATCCAAAAAAGTAATAATATTGATGTGCCCTGTATATATTATAATATTATTAACAAAATATAAATAAGAAAATAATTTTATTTACCAAATACTGTTTAAAATGAAGAAGAGTTGAATGAATATACAACCGAATGGTAGAATACCACCCATCAAAATACCTTTAAAATGAGATAGAATTATTATATATGAATAATAATAATAAGTTTTACCTGGTAATGGTTTAGTATATAATGTTTGTTCTGGAACTTGACGTGGAATTTGATTTGTTCGAACTGGATTTTCTGAAACCTAAAATTTTTTAGAACAAAATAAGAATATAGATTATTTTGTGAGAATTCTTTTTATTCTTACAGGACGTTTGAAACCAAGATATGCTCCAATAAATACTAATGGTGTTGAAACACAAAACCAAAGAGCAAGTAATGCTATAAATGTAGTAAATGGAATAGCTGCTGAACTTCCATTTGCCCAAAGAACAATGTTCAAAATAAAAAAGATTCCAAATATCACACTAAATATCAATTAATATAATCTTCTCTGTAGTAATAATGATATTTAATCATACCCTGGACATGCAACAGCCGTCATTACAACGTTCTTTTTCCATTTTTCACCGCCGAACACTAACAAATATTATTTTAAAAAGAGATTTTTGAGTAAATACAAAAATCATACTTTTATATAAACGAGCTGAAGTATATCCAGCTGGTGTTCCCAAAAGAACATAACAGACGATCGCACCTATATAAATCAATAATCAAATAATCAATGAAACAGCTGCTTAAGAATGTACATACAAGTCATCAAAGCCCCACGACTTGCTGGTGAAAGAAAACCAAGACAAGCAAAAACTAAACACAAGAGATGAAAATAAAATGGTATGAGAAAAAAAAAGATGTGATCTTACTCAAAGTAATCAATGACATAATAGCAATTTGAGTACCATTGCCGATGAGAACAGAGAGGAGCATACCTCGTTGTGGTGGTCGAAATACATCACCATGAACTCTATTATTATAAAAGAAATATAGTTCAATATTCTTCAGTAAATTCTTATATTTTATTATTAACTAATTTCTATTTTAAGTATATAAGAAAATTTACAAGTCCTCCATCTAATAAATAAAGTAATCATAATAATGAGAAAAAAAAATCTTACAATTTCCATCCAAATTCTTCTTGTGCATCATCCTATATAATATAAGATTAATATAAATTCATAACTAGGTGTTTCTTTTTTTCGTCATATCTACTTACAGCATCAACCATTTGATTATAACGAGCAATATCTTTATGTAATGTACGTAAAAGAATCATAGCGACCATACCAGAAAGAAATAATACAATAACTAATGAATTAAGAATTGAAAACCATTGAATACGTGTTTGTGGTAATGATTTAAGTATATAATCCCATCGACTAGCCCAACGAATATCATTATTTTTTACAAATTTTAAACTATATGTAAATGGAATCTCAACATCTTTTGCTGTTGATTGGAACATAAGTGGTTCAGCACTACGATCACATTTCTCAGAATTTAAACTAAACACAAAAGAAAAATACTTTCAATATTAATCTTCCGAATTAGAATATTAAACATACCTATTAACTTGTACTTTAGCTGCAATTATACGACCACCATCTTCACCAAATGCACTTCCCCATGTTTCACCTTGTCCACTATGATAAGTAATTTCGAAATCCAAATGATTAAATACATAAAATGTATCATTTTTTCCATCACGAATATTACATGATTCTTTTGAATGACCACTTTTCGTTACATAACAACCAATTGGAAAACCTCGTGAACAAAATTCTTGATTTTCAGTATTTCTATAACATAATGTTACAGGCATATTATCAATAATCCAATGTTGTTGATAATTCAAAACCATTCCTTTCATTAAACGTTTCAACATTTTTTGTCGTAAAGCATCGGATGATGAAAATCGTTTGGTACATACTAAATGGCAATCATCATTTTTAAGAAAATCAAACTAAAATAACAAAGAAAATTATTTTCTATTTAATCGAATAAAATTCTATATGTATTAAACCTTGTAAGGTGATGGACGAATTCGTTCACCGAATAAAACTTGACCAAGATTTTCAACAGGTGATGGTTCATCACTGATTGTGCAAAAATCAAAACTAAATTAAATAATTTAAAGATTTTTATACGAATTCATTTTTTTTGTTGTAAATTTACTAAGAATATTCATATGGTAAAACAGATTCGACTGAATCAAGACGATTGACAAATACTTCAACTTTTGTCTAATAGTAAAAGAAAAATTATATAATACAATAGTTTATTTAACTAACTTTGCATTTTGAATCTTCTACAGCTTTTCGGCAAAATACATTAGGCGCTAAACCTGGTAGATAAAATGCATGAATTGTTGATAGAAATAGTACTAACAAAACAAAGTTGAAATTTAGTTTAGCCAATGCTATAATCATTATTATCTGAAGAAGAAGAAGGAAAAAATCAGTATATTAATTGATAATTTTCAATGAAGAATATTCTAAAACAACGTTGTTACTGAAATAACAAAAAGAATATATTTCGGCCTTTATTTTTCTCCTTCAGCTTGTACACATCGTGAATGTAAATCGTTCCAAGTGTCGCACGTCTGTAGAGTATAGTCACGGAAAGCAATGAAGGAGAGAGAAAAAAAAGAAATGTAATGAAGAAAAAAAAACGCAAAGTAAGAGAAAGAAAAAAAATCCAAAAGTAAAGCAAATGCATGATTGCTTACACCTATCTCAAATATGCGTTAGACGCGTCTTTTTCTTCTTTCTCATTCTTGTGCAAACCGAAGTTATATAAAATACTTTGATGATTTTAATGTAAATGGACTTTTTTTTTGAAAGATTATTTCCTAATTTTATAATTTTCATTTTCTATAAAAATAAATAATACGTATACAAAGTTTTGAAAAAAAACAAAATAAACAGATAAGACTTTTTTTATTTGATCAATAAACAAAGAGAGGACAAACGTCGACTGCCATGTCTATTCTATCAGCCAATCAGTAAGCAACTCGTGTGACAAGTTGTCATGTCAACATTTCAGAGTTGTTGCTATCTACAGTTTTAAAAAAAAACCTCTAAACTAAATGGGTTTTTTTTATTTAATTAAAATTATTATGAATATATATCTTTATTGACGTAATGAATTGTATATTAAAAGAATAAACTAATGTCTAATGGTATTATTCCTGTTCAATTAAATAATAAACAATACAAAATATATCTTATAAGTTTTGTTTTAAAATTTTATGTAAAGAATAATTTCATAAACCGATTATTATCTAATGATAGTCCTACAATTAGATTCAATAATATTGACTATGTTACATTTTATTAATCAAAATGAATATTCGTTAAAAAAAGTTATATTATACTATAGATAATATTAGAAATCCAACAGAAAATGAGATGTTCGAATTTTGTTGAGATGTCAATAAAAAGCTGTTAAGTTCATCAAATAGTTTGTTTTCACCATAGAATACGTTACTCCAAAATAGACCAAAAACAAAATGTTTATATTCAATTTCTGCCAACTTCATCATATGTTATTTACCGGTAAATAAATATGATATAAATGTTAACATCAAATGTATAGCCAAAATAAAGAAATGTTGATGTAACATTCTCTCTGTATCTCGCATATATATCATACTTCAGCAGATAAATGAAAATAGCAAAGAAGAATAGATATTTCTGAATATGCTATGATACGGATAATATAAATAATAAGAATGTATATTATTGTGAGAATTCTTTTTTTTTCTATTCTGACAGGAAGTTTAAAACCATGATATACTCTAATGAATACTAATTGAGTTGAAACACGAAACGGAAGAGCAAGTAATACTATAATCGAAAATAAAATAGGATCGAACTCAACATTATCAATGGCATCATGTCAATTTAAATACAGTTATCGAGTTGATCAAAATATTAAGTTATATATTCATGCCTTTGTTCAAAACTGAGTATCCATGTATATGTCTGAAAAAGTTAAAAATACTTTATTATACACTAGTAATTACTTTAAAAGCTACAATTATTTCCAGTTCTTCATCAATATAAATGATTGTATTTTTAAATTTGCAATAGAGAGAAGTGTATGAAATAAAAATAATATAGAGAAGACTAACATCGTTTATTATATCCCACTTAAATAGCTAAAATTGATTATCTATCGATAACAGATAAAGGATACTTTGAGCTCTATAACATAAAGAAGTAGGAAAATCTCTGGGTATCACATTGAGCAGTTGTGTCTGATCTGTGCATATACTCGAGTGCTTTACTCAAGTAAAGAATGTGTAAAATATATTCATGTTCACATTTTACCTACACTCCCCAACATATTTCAATAATATCCAATCAAAGCCTATTCGGTACAGACAGGTTACTGAATAGTATATTATCTGATTTTTTAAATTTATCTAATGTCTGTATCTGTATATTTTCGTGTTATGTCAAAAACCTTTTGCTATCCAACATGATACCATAACTGACGTTACTCATAATAAATAACAGATCTAAATTGTTCACGATGTTTTTTACTTGTCTACCTTCCAAACCTAAATATAATTGAACGTAAGATATATATAGATATGTAGTACTTACATTCACTTCCATTTATTCAGTATTGATGGTCATGGCAATTACTATTGATATTATAATAACCTATTGATTTTTTTCTAGATTGTATTTTACTATTTAATTATTGATATTTGTTTTTCTTCTTCTTCTCCTCTGTTGAATAAATCAAAAACTAGAAGTTACAAAAATGTTGACTGTATATAATTAAACAAGGTTGAAAATTAGAAATATTCATTAATATAAAATTACTATTACTGCAATTTCATTTATTATTAATTATGTTTATTAATTGGAGCATTTTTCTATATAATGTACATTAATAAAAAATACAAAAACAAATTAAATGAAAGAGAAAATCTACTCATCGATATATATATATAAAAAACTATGATTTGTTTTTTTTTTTTTCTTCAATGTTGTTGTTTTGATCTTTTGAACTCTATTACTTGTTCAAGGTAACATATAACGAATTTTGTAGTTTCTCTTTAAAAATAAACGAAATATAGAAATTGAAAAACACAGAAGAAGAAGAAAAACAAGAAGAGAGCATTGAATTAGCTCCCACTATGTCTATAAAAAAAAATTTTTTTTTGAATACCAATAACAAAATAGAAATTTTGAGAATTATTACTTTATATCAATTAAATCACTCGAAACATTTCACTAAGCGAATTGCTTGTTGGTAAATTAGGAGCTGTTGAACTTTTAACTACTTTCTTCGGATCAATTGGTATGGGACCAGTTGTTACCCGAGTTCGGGATTGTTGACGTTGTGCATGTTGATCTTCTTGAGGATGTGCGGAAGGTATTTGAAGGGCTGATACTGCTTGTGATTGCTTTTGATGAGTCAGTGGATAATGAGAACCAGTTGTAGGTATTGATGTAGATGATTGAGTTAATTCAAGTGAAACATCATGTAATGATTGTGCTGTATTTGTTTGAAGCGGTTGTGTTCGAAATAGCCATGGACTACTCATATAACTCTTTTCTACTATTGTCATTGCCAAAAATGGTACACGACGAGCAATATCAAATAATTTTTCTATATATATATTAGAAAATAAATAAAGAATGTTTAAAAAAAAGTAAATTGATATACCTGGTTGAAGTTTTCCACCTGATAAATGTCTTGTAAGACCTTCAAGACTTGGAGCATCTAATGAAACAGAGAAAGACAAAATAATCTATACAAGATTTTGAAATATCTAATTAGACGTACGTGCTACAATTAAAATAGTTCCACCTGTACTTTGATGTCGTTCAGTTATAACATCCATAATTATTCGACATCGTTCATAATAATCAAGTTGACTATCATGTGGACGCATAAATGGCATCAATGATTGATAAGATTTATCAATATTATAATTATTCGCAGCTAATTCATCTTTAGTCATAAAACATAATGTACGTTTAAAATCATTTAAATAACATTCAAATAAACCCGGTTCCTATTTCATATCCAAAAATATTTTCTGTTGAAATAAACGAAATAATAACTTACTAATTGCATAGGTACATGTTTTCGATCCATACCACTTAAAATACCATCAGCACTTTGAACACATCGTAATGATGGACTTGTATAACAAATATCGGCTGCATATCCATTATATAGTAATGCTTTACCTGTTTTAAAAGCATGCATACGACCACGATTAGTTAATGGTACATCGATCACATAGTGATGTAGATAAGAACGTGTAGGTAATCTATAATATAGGTAATTTATTATCAAAAAAAAATAAAATATTAATGTAATAGAAATATATCATACGCATCAGGTAAATGTTCACTGAATCGAATATAACGACCACTTCGATCAAAACTTTTCTTTGACCAATCCGATCCTAAAACAGCATCAGCTCGTTCAGCATGACGAATAATAATTATTCGGAGTGGTTTCACAACTGGTAAAACACGTCGACTAACTTGAGGACTAGTATGGGATTGTACATTTGAATACCTATCATCAACAGATGGAAAATAGGGTTGTTGTTGTTGTTGTTGATGTTGGTGCTGTTGATGCTGCTGCAACTGCTGTTGTTGCAACTGTTGAAGTTGCTGTTGCTGTTGTTGCTGCAGCTGTTGTTGTTGTTGCTGTAACTGTTGAAGTTGCTGCTGTTGAAGCTGTTGCTGCTGTTGTTGTTGCTGCTGTTGCTGCAATTGTTGAAGCTGTTGTTGTTGATAGTGTTGTGGATGCTGTGGCAATTGTTGTTGTAATTGTTGTTGTTGCAATTGCTGTTGTTGTTGCTGTTGTAATTGTTGTTGTGTTTGCTGTTGCTGTGGCATTTGTTGCTGTTGAGCTGGCTTAACTACAACATTTTCTTTTTGTAATAGTCGCTAAAAATTCATAAAATACTCGAATATATTGATATTTGAATTGAATACATACATGAGCAGCAAGTAATTGACGTTCTTCTTCCATTAACCTCATAAATTCATACTCGTAGTTTTCTTGTGCTAATTGATTGTCTATGGGCATAATCAACGCTGATAAACGACGATTATTACTGATGCCATTCGGAAAACTATTATGTGCCATTATACAAGTAATAATCACGTAATTTGTTTTATATATTTATATAAATATATACGTATATATATATATATATATGTGTGTGTATCTGAAATATGATGTAATTAAAGTAATCAAGTTTGTCACATGGGCGATATCAAAAACGAAACCTGTAATTAGACAGACAAAAGAAAAAAAAAAGAATATATTGATACTCTGCCCACGTGAAATAAATTCTTTTGTTTTTGTAAAGTAAACAGTGATACTAACGAAGATGAGCAAACATATCGAATAAAAATATATAGAGAAGCACCTTGCATATGAATAGACAAGGTTTTTATATATGTATTGATGACAGATGAAAAATGATAAATTATATTGCATTTGATGAATATATATGTATGTGTGTGTGTGTGTGTATATTTATATTTATATAAATATATATATATACATGTACATCTATGTATTTTTCTCTCACCTGGTTAGTCATTCGATTGACGTCACATTTCTTTTTCCTTTTGTATTTATCAAAATTTAATATCATATCAAATACATGAAAACAAACTTATTATACGTTTACCTAGATAGAAAATATACCAAGCTATTAGTAATATCAATACTATACATAAATATTAGATATTAAGATATTGTTTATAAAATTGTGATACCAATGAAATCGAAGAAAATTTAATACAAAAGTTAGATAACTGTAAGTATACAGTATTCCAAAAAAATATTTTCTTCTTTTAAATACTTTACCCTTAATTATATATATATACTTCGAAGTCTATTACTTTTATGTAGTAGTATAAATAATTAATTTCGGATGGTATGGAATAGTATAACCAGTAATGATTATTAAACGAGTCAAAGTGCATTGAAGAGAGAGTGGCGACTAGATCTGAATTTTTGCTGATCGTGCTGCTACGTATAGGTATATAAATGTGAAGTATTCCAACGAGTTTATTTCTAAAGAGGTAACTGATATATCTACTATAGAAACTTTACATCATTAATCTATTCCTATTGTTTACAATAGTTTCTTTCAATTAATTGAGTACATACAATCAATCAAATGAAGATATTAGACAACTATTTGTAGGCTTGTCATCTTCGCATTGTTTTCGAACGTATATATTAGCAAAGCTAATATTAATACTCGTTAAAATAAAGAAAAAAAATATGAAACGATAAGTAAATACTAATATTTCATACTGTCAGCACAAATGATGATCATAATAAACTATTTATAAATAATCTCTTAGTTTTTCGATAAATGTTAATTGAGAATATCTTTTAAATCTTATCTACTTTAGATATTTTATGAAAACATTTGAAAATCAATAATAATAATTTATATATATATGATATTTAAGATTTTATTGAATAGTACACAAATCTAAATTATTAATTAAAAAAATTTGTGTCCTTCTGTCCATATTGTATTTAAATTCCAAATATCAAGTGTATTAATAATAATATGTCCCTGAGTAGTCGAAGGTTCATTAACATAAACAGCGAAAGTATTTGCATTTTCTTCTTCAGGATAAACATGTCCTGTTAATGCCAATCGACCATGATATGGTTCAAATATCTCAATAACTGAATGATCAATAAAAATATCTAATTCAAGAATCCATTGAGTATTTATCGCCGATGGTTGTAACCATATTGGTGCATGAATAGGTTCATGTGCAGCATCAGGATTTCTTTGTGATAATGATCTATCCATATAAACCCATACTATTTGTTCACCAGCTTCTCGTTGTTTCACACCTGATGTACAAACTGAATTTGATGTTAAAAGTGGAACACCAGATTTAAGAAAACAATTATTATTTATTTCTCGATCTTGTACATATGTCCATGCTTGACATTTATTATCTTTATTACAAGCTATTTGACAATCAGACCATTGAGTAATTTGTGGTACACTGAGATAATCCCATCCAGGTAAATCCGAGTTCATCATAACACTTGTATTATTTCTTGAGGTAATGCCAATACTTGTTCTTTGTTGACCATCAGGTGTTGATAAAACAATTAAACCAAAATCTAAATTCTAATTAAAATTAAATTAGAAAAAGGAAGAATAAGAAAAAGGTTTTTTTTCTTATTATACTTGATACATTGGAAATTGCCAATTAATAACAATTTCAACTTGATTGCCTTTTACATCTGGTACAGGTTCAAATGGAATTTTTGTATCTAAAACAACATCAGTAAAATGTCGATGACTTGTTTCATTACGCAAAGTTTTTAATGCTTCAATTGGACGTGAACGTAATTCATATCCATCATCAGATAAAAATATTGTTCGTGGTAATGTATGACAACCTTGCCAACCACGTTGTGGACCTAAATTATCTTCTTCTGATGTCCAACCCATAATTACTTGTTGATCATTAATTGGATCATAAAATGTTTTCGATGCATAAAATCTTCCATGATCAATTAATTGAATATATTCTCCAAGATCATGATTTTGTGGTGTAAATATTAATTTATCTGGATCAACATCTCCTACTGCCCAAAAATCTCGTCCAAGTAATGATGCTTTTAAAACAATTCGATTTTCAACTTTAAATATATCTGGACATTCCCAAAATGTATCATATTGATTACTATGTATTGGATGTAAATATTTCCAATCGAGAAAATCTCTTGAAGTAAATAAAACAGCTTGACCACCTAAATCTTTAGTACCATAACCATATATTAAATAATAATTATCTTCGTTATCTCGAAATGCTGTTGATGGATCACGTCCATTTGGATCTGTAATTAAAGGATTTAATGGAGATTTTGTCCAATTTGTTAATGTTGGATCAGATATATTAGCTGGTCGTGCTTGACATTGAACTTGTTGATTTGTATTTGTTATACCAGTATATATAATAGTAGGAGTACCATTAACAATCGTTGTACTTCCAGAAAATATACCATTTATATCGTATGGTTGATCAGGAGCAAGAGCAACGGGTAAATGAATCCAATGAACCATATCTTTACTATAACAATGACCCTTTGAAAGAGAACTAATAAGCGAAAAAAAAATTATTAAACTTATTTTATCTTACCCAATGCATATCACCCCAGACAGCAGCATTTGGATTATACTGAAAAAACATATGATAGTAACCATTAAAATATACTGGCCCATTTGGATCATTGAGCCAGTTTTTAGCTGGCATCATATGATATTGTGGACGCAAGGGATCATCACTTCGGACGTTGTCGAATATAATAATTAAAGATACGAAAAAAATTATTGTTTGCATTTGTTTGTCTACATGTGTGCTGTTACAATCATATTTATTTTAACTTCTTATCTATATGCTTTTATCAAAATATTATACAACATGTATTTAAAAATAGAAATTTATTGTGTATTAAAATTAAGAGAGACTTCACATCTTGACGGTGTGGATGTGGGTATAAGTGGACTTAATGATACTCTCGTCCACACCCACCCTCTAAAACTTTATTCAGATATAAAATCAAGCTCTCGCATTCAAAAATAAAGTTTTAAGTGAGATATCATGGTCTGTTTAGTAAACACGTGATATAGGTTTTTACTAATTTTTGATGCTTTGTCATAATATCTAGTCGTTGATGCTTGATGATGGAAATCAAAATTGTATAACAGATTCGCACTTTGAGTTACAGAATCTAACTGTATGCTATATTTAATGGTGTCTTTAGTATTATCAAATGGCTCTAAAGAGATCATGGCGTCTCAATTAAAACTCATTTTGTTAATAGAAGAACTTGATTATATACCTGAACAAATTTTCTCTATGAAATGTAATAATACTTAGTTAGAATATAAATCAGGTAATAAATTTCATTTTGAAACAAAATAAAATATATCAAGATAAATATGAGTAAAAAGAGTAAGTTGTTCAAAAATAACAACATATAAATCAGTCAACCGTTACAAAGATATGAGAGAGAAACATCAAAGAGGATGAAAGATGTGTAGTGCCATAGAGAGACATCTGTTGCTGGTAACAATGCAATCTATTCCTTTCTAATACAAAGTTATTATATGATTTAATTCAGCTATTTATTATAATTTCTAAAGTAAAAGAAAAACAAATGAAGATCTTTTTTTCGCTTCTATTCATTATTTATAGAAGGTCTTTAGAAAGAAGAGACCACAAAAGAAAACGTGTGGATAAAAGGAAAATTGTAGTTGAGAATACTTATATATATATATGATTCTTTTTTTTCTATTCATATTGAGGAAGATGATTATATTCTTCAGAACATTCAATCATTACGGTTGAATAGTAAATTTTCTTCCTTCTTTTTTTTCTCTATAAGTTTGCCTATGAATGAAAGAAAAGATAGGAAAAAAACGGAGAACATTTCAGTCATATATTTTCTTTCTTAGTGATTATATTGGACGTGACGGCCACTCGTCAACAGTAACAACAGTAACGTGTATATATTCTGTCATTTTCTCTTTATTATTAGATGGATGGTCCGTATAAAAAAAATAATGTTCTTCAGAATACAATCTATTTTCATATTGTAGACCATGAATTCAAATAAAGGTGGATATCAATCGCAAAGTTGGGATCTTAAAACTGGCTATAAACCTATGCAATGGCGACCAACAGTTTCAACACCATTATGTGTACTTTGTAATAAAACTGTTTATCCAGCTGAAGAAGTCAATGGTGCTGGTCAAAAATATCATAAACTTTGCCTTAAATGCAGTATGATTTTATTTTCACATTATTTCTGTTTCTAATACTTTTTATTTGTTCAGCATCATGCAATACATTACTCAATTCAGGTAATCTAAATGAACATGAAACAAAGATTTATTGTGTGCCATGCTATCGTCGTCAATTCGGTCCACGAGGACGTAAGGTTTTATTAGAGCTAAAGACTGAAGATTATAAAATCTATTTTTAGTTGCTCATGGTTTTGAAACTACATCATCAATAAATACCGATATATCACCAACTAGTCCAAGTTCATATCGAAAAGAAAGAAATATTGATAATCACTATTATGAACGAAAAACCTCAACAGGTTCATCACCATCTCGAACTTCATCAGATGATGATTCACGTCATACCAACAGTTTACCATTTACTACTCAAGTAACCACAAGAGAAAAACCAACAACTATCAATCGACCATCATCAACTCTAACAAATATTCCAGCCTGCAAAGTGGTGAACATATCACAAAATATTTGTCCACGTTGTTCCAAAATTGTTTATTCTGCTGAAGAAGTTAAAGCTGCTGGAAAAGTAATAAAAATTTATGACATATTTTTATTTTATTCCAAAATAATTATTGATATTTTAGTCATTTCATAAACGATGTTATAGTTGTGCACATTGTAAAGGAAGTATAAGTGGTGCTCGTTATTGTGAACATGATGG